TGCCCATTAGACCATTAACATACAGCAAGTTCCAAGTCTTTATAATGCAGTTGATGGAGCTAGGCACCTACTATGGCATATATTCATTACTCGCTCTCCCCAACTCTGAAGTTCTTGGGGCGAGTACGTGAATAATAATTGTTGGGATCATATATAATGAAGTTTAGGTCATATAGTACATCATTCTGTGTGTCAATTGTAAGAGAAACCCTTGCAGCTAGTAATTGCTACAATATCAACCTAACTTGGGTTCAAAATAATTTGGAATCACTGGTATATATATGTACTTTGCTTTCTCAATTCAACATATATACTTGTGCTTCTAGACACTAAACACTTCATGTCTTCATGCCTACCTACCTGAGTAAAATTCCTCTGTACAGATTGCTTGCTTTTGTTAAAAACAATGGTGTATTGCCCTCTGCTACTGCAGACTATATTATATTCTAGGCTCAAACTAAGCTGTATCTGATCTTGTGTTCATTAGCTCCCAGCAACTTTTAACACCAAAGCTGGATCTTAATGGGCTGGATCACTCCAGAAAAGGCCCATCAAAAATTTAAAGGGACATATGATTGTCATCATGAGGCCAGTTTTGGGCTTTTCCAGCTCAAAACTGTGTTGCTCTAACTTCTGTCAAGCATTGCCACTACAATACTCATCTCCTGGCAGCGTGCCATATATGAATGGAAAGTTTTGAGAATCTTCTTTCAAGATCAAAAAACAGATTACCATTTGGATCTCTGAACAGAAAGATATAGTTGTTTTAATACACACTGTCCATATGAAAAACCAACAACACAGTTATATGTATCCTTCCTCATCAGCACCAGCACTAGCAGTCTACCAATGGAAATGGATTTCTAATGAGAGCTTTTGATGATCAAACTGTGAAATTATTAGTGGCATGGATATTTATCATGTGTTTTTGGTATAGGTTATGTCTCACATATGTCGTCATCGGTTAATAATGTATCCTTATCAATATTTAATTGAAGTGTCGATTATCAATTATATTATCTAAAATCGTTTCTACACAAACATTTTATTTATTCATCGGTTAATATATCCTTATCAATATTTAATTGATAATCCATAATTTATATAAAGTGGTTGACAAAAACGTTACAAATTGCGCATCAAGTTTGAATGCAAATTTTGTCTTCAATCAAAATCCAAGCTACGACATAACAATCAGTTCCAGCTTTTAAAGCAAAGTATTAAAATTTCAACAAGAGATATCAGTTATCCAGCAGTTGACCCTTTTAAGATCTATCAAAAATTTATCCAGTATATGCAAGACTGTAACAGTACTGAAGGAGCTAAGTAGAGTTTAGTGAATCAGATTGACAGACCTGATACATATACAGTACACTGTATTATTATGTGTGCCGGAACAGAGGATGGATATGAACTTTAATTACCCTTCCATCATTCCAACAAAAATTAAATATGCAGTTTCTTTAATAAGAAATGAATCCAACACCATAAAGACTATGAAAAATCTGCTCTGCATTCTGTTATCTATAAGCACGAGAACCATTTTCAAAGGAGAGATTGAGTTTGTTCCACACGAATCTATTAGTGTGGAACATAACACTCCATCTCCACCGTTGATATTAATTTTTTTATTTTTTAAACCTATAAAGCTGCCCATGGCATGTATTGGAGGAGGGTCAGGATGGAGTGTTACGCTGAACAAAGCCACAACTTGACAGTGTAAGAATTCACAACTTGACAGATATTAAAATAGAACAGATTAGTTTATTATTGCTTCAAACATCACCTATAAGTTTGATGTATTAATTCCAATGCAAGTTGACAAATATATATATTGGATAGATTTCAGACAGACAGACAGACAGACAGACACTAAGTTAGTTACAAGTTATGTACAACCTGTGTTGTGGTTAATTAGTAAACCTCTTAAAAACCAGTTGAGCTTAAATGATATTATTGAAACTTAGCTAGGCTGCTGACTGGCAGCTGAGCAGATGACTTGGCTGTGCAGTGTGCAGTATGTAATGACGATGTACTAAATAGGTTAAAATCTAAAGGTATACAATTCGAAGTCAACACTAAATGCATACTGTTTTACTGACTGTAGACGCGTAGAAATGGTTATTGTCCCTTAAGCGCGATATGGGGAGACCTCTATGGTGCAGCTGCTTGAGGTCCACCTCTTGTAATTGCATTCAATCACTCACATTTCACGCTGGCCATGCCCTAATTTGTGAATGGTCCAGTGGCAAAAAGAAAAGAAAAATTCATGCATGGTTTCAAGATATGTACATGCATTAGAGGGGTTGAGATGAAGAAACTTTTGCCAAGCAAGAATGACATTCATGTATCATCCCTGATTATGAACGAAGTTAATACTGGCATAGGTATGGGTGCCTTTGAAGTCATTTATCACTCACTGTTATCATTCGAAAGACCTAGTCATGGAAGGTTTTTTTTTTATAGATATCTGTCACAATTTAATTAATGCAAGTCCAGAATCTAGTATGCATTCTTAAGGTTGATCAAATGTACAGAGGAAATTTACTAGAAATAAGTAGGAATTCCTTGGTTTCCCATATAATTGCCCATGTGTGGCATTCAATTGCATGAACAATTATACAGTTTTTTCGCTGACTTCTTGTGCGCGTAGACTTGCCCATACAGTACATTAACTCAATTTGTATTTCGAGGAGAGTAGCGTCTGAGTGGCCTCTTATAAATACTCAAACCATCGTAATTCAACTCAACTCAACATTTTCAATCAGTTTCAATGGCAATCCTCTCCCAAGGAATAATGTTTCCCAGCGTTCATCATTCTAACATTGTCTCGTTTGACCATGTGTCTCATCCAACTATGCACCTCCACACACATTTGAAGAAGTATTCAAAAACTCAATTTTCTCATCATCAGTTGGAATTTTTCAAATCCATTTCCCGCTCACGTTCTCCTTGTCAATCCAAGAAACATTGTTTTCGACCATCTGCCGTTCTAGAAACTTTGGAACACACAGTAACAATCCAACGTACTTCGTTAATATCTCCACTAGAGGAAACAGAAAAGAAATCTATGTTCCTTTCCAACATAGATAGACGTCTTAATTTTAAGGCTACTACAATCTTGTTCTTTTCCAGAAATCCAAAATTTTCTTTTGAGCAAATTGTCACAAAACTTGAAGTTGCATTAAGGAAGATTCTAGTGCAATATGATTTCTTGAGTGGAAGGTTAAGGTGGAATACTGAGAAAGGTCAACAAGAAATTGACTGCAACGGGGCTGGGGCAGGATTTGTAGTAGCTTCGTGCAACTCAACGTTTGAAGAGCTGGGAGGTATTGGGTCTCCAAATGTAGCAAATCAACAATTTGCACTTAGAAAGTGGAATGCCTCAGCTGATGATCAGCCTCTCCTTGTTATGCAGGTATCAAGCTGACTAACTAAGCATGCACTAGATTTTTTTTTTTTTGACAGAAGCAATCTGTCATTTTTTGCAGATGACATTCTAACAGTCATCTAGAATCTTACATTTCTGTTATATTTAAAAAAAAAATTCCCACTATTAATATGCATACAGCAACCTTTAGTACTTGTTGTTTCGATATTGCAGTTGTTATACTATAGTAGTATAGTTGGATTGGATTCCAATATTAATAACTGAACAAAACATATGTACTGAGTGCCGTTTATTTAAATCTAAACTTCTGAAGACTCACCTTTCTTTTTTGTTTTTGTTTATCTGTTTCAGGTGACTTTGCTCCGATGTGGTGGATTTGCACTAGGCTTTGCTCTGAATCATGTAACTATTGATGGCATTGCTAGCAGAATTTTCCTGGAAAATTTAGCCTCTCTGCTTTCAGGAAATGATTTTGTGATACCTCCTTACAGTAATCGTCACCTACTAGCAGCTAGGTCTCCACCTCGTGTGACATGCCCCCATCCAGAGATGTTCAATTTTGAAAGCCTACAGGGAAATATATCCAATAAAACACTGCTCAAAGCCACATTCCAAAAGCTTGATTCTCAGTATTTTCAACTAAGCCTCAGTGATATTATGAACTTAAAAAAGAAATCAAGGATGAGTGGTGGAGACAATAGTGCACATTCAACTGGGTTCAATGTTGTTGCCGCACATATTTGGAAATGTGTAGCTGAAGCTAAAAATCCAGAAAATGATCCAGAAAGACTATCAACAATCCTATATGCTGTCAATGTACGATCAAGAGTTAAACCACGACTTCCATCATCATACGCAGGGAATGCGATTGTTAGTGGTTATTCAACAACCAGTTGCGGTGAAATTAAAAAGAGGCCTTTCTCACACTTGGTGGACATGGTTTCTGAAGCTGATACTAGAATAACCGATGAGTACGTAAGGTCTCTTATTGACTGGGGAGAGTTATACAAAGGGTTTCCATATGGAGATGCTATTATATCTTCATGGTGGAACTTGGGATTGAATGAGATTGATTACCCTTGGGGTAGGGCTAAGTGGAGTTGCCCTGTGGTGCCAAACCATGGCAACAATGCTATCACATTAATCCCAGAGGTTGAAGGCAAACGATTTAAAGGATTGCATGTTTTAGTATCTCTTCCACAAAAGGAGATGGAGAGATTTGAAG